GCTGTTTGTCTGAAATTCTAGGTGCGGTGAAATGGGCGAGGAAGACTCTGGGCCAAAATCCTCTTTGCCGCCTCTGTGCAAAAGGGTCGTGACTCCAGCCAAGGTGGGGAGAGGTTTTGCCCGGCTGTGTTTTGCTGCTTTCCTCAGTGGAGCTCCCTGAAAAGGCCTCTTTCCTGCAGAACTCCAAAGGAGAGGTTGCTCCCCAAATCGGAAGGTTATTAAACAGGTGGAAAGAAGTCCGTCCCCCCCCCCACACACACCCAAGGCCTGTGTGATTCTAGAGGTTGGTTGGATGTTCTTAGTTTTCAATTGAATAAGGTGTTCCGTTCAAGAGTTAACCCTTTGCCACACAGGCTCTGTGCTGCTTGTTGGTCCTTCACAAATAAGTATACAGTACTAAGTTGCATTTTTTAAAAAAATAAATAAATAAGCTATGCGGCTTTTATCCCTAATTGTTTACATAAAACCAGGAAGAAAAACATTAAATAGGTTGGTGTTAACCATCAGCAAATAGTTACAAAAGGTCTTGTTTCTGCTCCTAACCCTTAACCCAAGCCAGTCCACCCCCCCCATTGAGCTCACAGGCCCCCCCGGAGGGGGGTCGGTCTTTGTGAGCAGGCTTCCCCTCTTCTTGGCCAGGTTGACTCCTCCACCTGAACGGCTGCCTCTTTCTCTCCCAGACGCCTCTCTCTCTCTCTCTCCCCCCCCCCCCCCTGGCAGCTGCCCTTCTCCTCCGCCGGCTGTTTCAGGCTGTCACTCGGGCTTCATCTTTCCTCGAAAAGCTGCCTCCAGAGTGAGTTTTGCTGCTTTCTCTCCGAGACCTTCTGTGTCTCACCTCCCTGCTCCCTTGGCAGGTCTCTCTCCTTCTGGCGAGCAGGCCTCCCTCGCCTGCGCGCCTCTCTGGATGGAGCCCCCCGGGTTCCTCCCGGGGACATCCCTCGACGTGAAAGGGAATCCCCTCCTTGCCAGAAACAAGCCTGTCCTGCGTTGCCCACATTATTGATAGGACATTGGGGAGTTTCCGGAGCCGAGATCAAAGAGGATGCCGGCTGCTGTGGCATCATCATCAAAGCAGGTTCCTGCCTGTTCCATCAGCATCCAAGAAGGGCAGCGGGTGATGGAGTCCTTCTCTCTTTGAAAGGAGACAATGGGAAGTCTTCCCCTGAGTAGCCAGATTTCTTTCCAGCCTGCTTGAATTGGGGCTGTTGTTCCATGGAGGCACTAGCCACGCTGTTTACAAAAGAGTCCTTATGCAGCAGATCTCATAAACCAAGTATTTTGTGTCTTGATGGGTCGCATCTTGATATTGCATCTTTTATGACTTCATCTCAGCATGGAAAGCATTTGTTCCTATTTCCGTGGTTTCTGTAACTCTGCCCAGCCATCTTTTCTGCTACTTTATTCTGATTTATTTCATTTGGGATTGAAAGTTATTCGTAGCAACACACTGAACTGGAAAAGGAATGATGGATCCCTGTTTCATGGTAGGGCAGGGGCGTAGAGTAGCATCAGCTTTAATCTAGTACGTAACAAATGGGAAAGAAGGCTTGAGTGAGAACATGTCCCTTATTGAGCTGTCTCCCTGAGTTTTCAGAAAAGGTGGATTAAATTATTTCAGAAATGCCCCCCCCCCCGAAATTCATTCTTAAATTCAGCACTGTTTAATTACAGTTTGATCTTTTATGAATTCCAGTCAGATGATCTGTGACTGTGCCCGCTGCATATGGGAAAGATGGCTTCAAACATCCTCAATACATACGTGGACACCCCAGGGCATCAAAGTGTTTTGTCTCTCGTTTCTTGTGCTGTTCTGTTGTTAGCTCTTAAAATGTTTTAAAATTGGAATTGGTGGTGTAATTTTGCCAGTTTATATGGATTATGTATCTTCCTGGCCATCTGTTCTTCTAATTTGTCTGAAGAGCATTTGCCATCTGAGAGAGAGAGAGAGAGATTGAGCAGATTTTTTTTAAAAAAAAGATACAGGCTTTGCCCGTCATTGAGATCCCGTGGGAAGTCTCCCCTTCAGCCTGTGTGGGGTGCCTACCTTCCTACCCCATAGGCCTCCCCATGCAGGGAGTGTCATTCCCCCCCCCCAGCCCTTGCCGATTCCAGGGCTCCCTAAGTGTATGCGAAGTGCTGCCTGTGAGAAGCAGCCAGAAGCCTTCAAACATTCTTGCTTCCTTGGAGCGTTTTGGCCCTGCAGAGACGGAGGCCATTTCCTGAATGCTCCACTTCGCATGGTTTGGAAAACTTCCTTTTCTGAAGGACCGCTCCCAGAGCCCCTCCCCGCCCCCCACCAGACCAGCATGGGGATCGGCCAGGATATTCTGGCAGTTGGCAGCCGGAAAAGCCAGTGCTGCCCCTTTGCCCAGCCCTGCTTGGAGGGAGACCAGCGGTGGGTTTGTGCTGCTGCTTCTCCAGCTCAAAGCCTCCTGAGAGAGGAGAGGGACTGGCTGGCTCAGCAGCACGCACGCACACATCCATGTGCGCGCAGGCCTGGAGCCTTAGTGGCACAGTCATCAGAGGGGCTTGTCGGACCCTTCCCCAGACCTGACATGCCAGGAAGCT